GAAGGGTATTCACATTTGAAGGGTACCGTGGGCTAAGGATACTATAGGGATAGTGTGGAGGGTATTCACATTTGAAGGGTACTATGGGCTAAGGATACTATAGGGATAGTATGGAGTGTATTCACATTTGAAGGGTACCGTGGGCTAAGGATACTATAGGGATAAGGAGTAAAGGGGACATGTCTGATCCTTTGTCCCTTTAAACTAATTTGCAACCAATCAGCTCCGTTAGCGTCCTGTGTGCCCAGGATATTTTTACTTGTCATTTCAGGCGAACCAGCAACCCCAATCGAGTGCGAGCTTTCAAGCTCATCATGTACCTGGGTGTCATCATCCACTGGATCGGCTGTTTTTACTACATGCTCTCCGAGGTAAATTCCACCCTTCAGTTTCTCCTCACCCACCCCCTTGGGGGCCAACAAACCTACCACCATCACACAAAAGTCGTTTATAAATGCAAGCTAGGGGTTCGCTATTCAGAGAAAAAACGGCCCTGTAGCCACGACACAGAAGTCCCCTTTAACTTAAAAGTGAGAGCCCACTTCTTCCACAAAAATCTCCTTTTCTTGAATGTATGAAACTGAGAAGCAAGTTTATGCTTCAATCCAAAACCGAATCGCTCTTAAATATTAATAACCGATTATAATTATTGTCTGGTATAGTGCATTCATTTACGAGGAGCAGAAAAAACATTAACCTTGCTTGCGCGAGGGAACATGAGAAGAGTATTTAGTCTTAATCACTAGATCCAGCGCATCAGTTTAATCATTAATAATTAATCTTACTGATGAACACATGCGTTCGGGGAGGTCATGATCATATGGTTATATATTCTGTGTTTTTGCGAGGATTCTAGTTACGGTATTTTGTTCTATTGAAGAATCAATGAACGCTCCATTTCCTTTTACCGTAGTTTTCTTTTGTTGCCGATGAATACCCCTATCTCTCACTCATCCACGCTAATTTCGAGAAATAAAAAACTGCGTTTAACGCAGTTTAAATTCAGTTTCAACAAAGTTCTGTTTTCATTGGGGGTGTCCACAAAAGCATAGTGCACAGTTCACCACTCTGTATGCGCCGTTTGTGTACTGGAACTGAAGTCATCATTTCAGATTTACCAGCGATTTCTTTGTGTTATGTTACAGGTCGAAGGATTTGGCAGCAACGAATGGGTGTACCCGGCAGATGAAGCGACACAAGGCCTTCTGAGGTTGGTGGTGTACTTTTAGGATGATCCCCAATTTCCTATCGGCCAAACATGACACAAATATGCCGCACGTGAAAGTTAACGTTGCACCACCTCCCTGTTTGTAGGAAATATCCTAAGAGAAGGTTACGAGGAAAAAGAGCTCCATTAACACAATGGAAAAAAGTCCCAGCTTTTTAGCCTCCACGTTCGGCATTTAAACCTCACCCTGCGTGGTTCATTTTTGAGTGAATCCTTATACGACAGTGCACAAGTCATGACATTGTTGTTGAGGCAGTGTTCTAAAAGGCTTCCTTACCTTCTTCAAATAAAGGTAAAAATATCAATTTAACGTGTCTTTTGTATACACGTATCCCTTCCTGATAACTTGCACATTTAGGTCAAAGTATATACGAGGAAACGAGACTGTAATTTAGGCCCTAGGCATAAACGAGACGAGCAAATATCAGCAGGCATCGTTGAAATGTATCAAGTTTAATCAATTCTGACCTTTGTGTTTCCCCAGGAAAATACACAAATCTTTACTTTATCAGCGAGATCTCATAATCTCTGGTAGTCTGAGCATAGTTTGATATTTTTCCCAATTCATTTACGCAACGAACAATGGTGAAAATGAATAGTGCTGTTGGTAAATCAAATTAAACTACCCTCGCCTACCATAGAAAACCTAGTCATATTCTCGTCCGAAAAATATTTCTGCATTTTTTCAGAAAATATATCCTCTGCATCTATTGGTCAATGATGACCCTCACAACAATAGGCGAGACGAATCCTCCGTACAACGACATCGTAAGTCTGGCGGTATTCCAGCCGTGTATGGCACGAGGCTAGGGCGCGTGGTGAGACCAGGCCGTTGAGGGCGCTGTACTGACCATTTGCACCAAGATGTCGATCACCATCAGTATTCGAGAACTTTGCTTATCGCATGGGACTCACATTCATAATTTCGTTATTTAAGGGCGGCTTCCTTAGGGCTTTTATTAACATTTTGACAGCCTTTCTTTCCTAGATATCACACGCATAAGCGCTTCTGCAGCTCACAAACAGCCATCAAGCTAAATTTGGTTCTTACCCAATCCCAGATGTTGACAGACACTGTATTTTGAAATGTCGCATCAGTCCAAGGTAAACACCATTTTTTTGGAAACCACAAGTAGACAATGTCAGGTCAGAACTTGGTTATGCAATGGTTATTTTGAACAGCGCCCTCTGGTGAGGTATTTGCCACTCGCCTCCTGTCATTTTGTCTACTCCGCTGCTGTCTACAACATCTCTCTGCCGTTGTTTCTCTTGCCTTGCTCAGTAAATACATACGGACTATATACTGGTCTACAGTGACCCTAACCACTATCGGAGGCACAGCGAGCCCTGTCAGCAACGTCGTAAGTATTGGAGGAGTATTGGATATGCTTAAATTATGCACGAGCGGGCTCGCTTTGTCACGCCTACCAAACCTCTCTCCTGTCCCCACTCCCCCAATAGTCCTGTGATTAAAATATCCTGCAATAAATACCCTTACAACACCAGCAGAAGTGGACACAACAAATTTTTAAAAAGCCCACCCACAAATCACTAGCATCTTCCTTGATTCATTTACAGTGTCAACAGAAATAGTTTCCGCGTCAGTTGAAACTACCACGACACATATATGGACATGACTATACATTTTGTTCATTAAACTTGAAGGGATGGTTTCATTTCTACTATGAATGATATCACTTCTGCACTTACAGCTTTATAATGGTCGGCTCATTCTAGGGAGGACTAGTCTGAGAACATTTATAACGACCCAACAGTTTGGAGTAAGCATCAGATAAATATGGCGCATTGCAGTTTTTTTTTTCTACACATTTTCAAAGATACCCCATGGGAGGCCTTAGGGAGACAGTAACCAGAATATAGTGGATAACTGGAGGGACACTTCGAAACATTAAACTGAAATTATTTATCCTAATCTAGCTCCAACCAACAAAAGCCTCATTTATATTTCAAACTGTTTTGGCTAAGAATCACGCTTGCTATTTCATCTTCTTTTTCTTCTTACAAGGAATACGTTTTCACTGGAATCACATTTCTTGTGGGCGTGTTTCTCTTTGCCGCTGTTGTCGGGAACGTTGGTGACGTCATCAGCAACATGAACGCGGCGAGGCAGGAGTTTACCACAAAGTAAGTGACTGAATAAATCACGCAGAAATTTGTTGACCAACAGAGGGCGTGCTCAAATCCGAATCCTTCTGTCCAAATTGTAATTCCTGACTTATATAGGCTGTGACTGAAACGGATTCCAGCACCAGAGCTGCGACCACTGTCGGCAATGTTCCCACGTATTTGCTCATGACCAAGACCTATCTCTAGCCACTAGATCGGGACAATGCCTTTTACTGAATGTCAACAAGAGCGTAGCAATATTTTTTGTCGCTCTGAAGCTTTGAAAAAGCGTCAAAATAATAGACAACACTCAAACCGATCAATATTGAAGGAACTAGAAAATTATGAATACATTGCCAATATAAACAGGTGTTTCACATTTATGGGCGTCTTGTCTGTACTTAGCATGATTTCCTTTTCTAAGCTACCATTTACAAAACCTAGTCAGTAGAACCCTATATCAAAAATAATGCTGACCCAGACCATGCACAGCAGCTGTCACAACCAACGTGCATTAACACTGCTTTAATGGTCGCCTCTTGACAGAATGGATGCAATAAAATTCTACATGAATCACCGTAAAGTGCCTGACGTTCTGCAAACCCGCGTCAAGAAGTGGTCCGATTATGCTTGGTCTCGGTGAGTTGGATCATATATAAAAACACAAATAGCCCCCTCACTCATTTTGTATTTAGAGTGACTACTGGCATATGGCCTGTGGGGGCGCTGTTTATAAGTTTCACGGGCAGTGAGTGGCGACAACTGTATCTTTTTAACCACTAAAAACAATTTTGTATTCAAGTGTTTCTGCCGTCAGTGTTTCATTTATTCTCTTTAATTGCATAACTTTTTCGTTCGAAAAACTTACGAAAAATATTTATGTAACTGTATTTGGTTTTGCTGTAGGCTACAAGCCTCATAGGTCGAGTTCGGGCGGCGTGTTCTTGACACGAGTTTCGTGTTCTCGGCTCGAACGGCGGGAACATAACCCAAGAACACTGTTCTCGGAACAGGTTCAAACACCACCTCCTCGTCAGGGAGGTGCAAAAACTATAGAGATGGCTTGCAAAGCTGGAGACAATTTAAAGTTTCCCAAAATTAACAATAATTTTCTATGACAGAAATAATTTTAATGGAAAAGAAGTTAGCCCAATTATCTAAACATTAACTCTCGAAGAATGCGCAAGGACGCCGCCATGTTGCTTGCATGCTACAAATAATTACCAGCGATAACCAGTTGTACGTTCCCGGCGTTCGAGCGGCCGACTCACGAACAACAAATCGAGCTGTTTGTGAACATACGAGAACAAGCCACCAGAACTCAGCCATAGTTCTCAAGCTCACGCCACTTAGGGGAAAATAACCTCACAACCGAGATCAATTGCAAGTACAATGCAATCCTTCTAACCGGCTCACATACCGGCTAATGAATGGTCATACGCAGTGGCGTATCCAGTTTTGAGGTCAGGAAACAGAGGACTGTCTTTTTTCTACAAATGACAGTCCAAATGTTTTCATCCATTAAACAGATCCGCAAACTGATTACGTTTCTTCCACGAGCGCCTTCAGTTCTTACCCTTTTATGATTCACCACTGTTTTGCAGTGTTCATAATTTATGAAAATACTTGTGACTGGTTCCAAAACAGAAAAACAAATCCCAAGGACAAAAAATGGTGAACAAGAACTAACGACAGCCGAGAACATTGATATTGGATGTTCTGCTGATAGGAAAATGTATTTGATGAACTGAATGGACAGGGGAAATATGGAAAAATAAGAGAAGAAGTAAGTGACTAATTTGCAAGCGAAAAAAATAAGGGTAGTCTCGAATCATGAGGAAACGAAACTGACCCTGTTTCCCGCGGTGTTCGGAAAATTGAACAGTAAACTGATGTGTAGTAACCTGATGCCCGAATTTCACAAATTTCATTCTCCCTTTCCCAGAACCCAAGCTCTTGATGATCAGACGTTTTTGGAAATCCTTCCACCCAGGCTTCGGGCAGAAATTGCAATCCATGTCCATTTAGAAACACTGAAAAAGGTGAGAAGATTCCTTACAGCTCAGGCTATTATCAGTGAATATAACTTTGAAGTTTAGGTCCCCACAGCTAAAGATATTGTAGTACTCTCCACAACATCATTGTTGTCAACATATCTTCAGAATAGTTTGTTTGGACAAGAATACCATAAACGGAGCATCAACTGTGCATTTTCTTTGTCGTAGGTGAAAATTTTCGAGGATTGTGAGCAAGGTCTACTGTGCGAGTTGGTCCTCAAGCTGCGATCGCAGATATTCTCGCCTGGGGACTACATCTGTAGACGGGGCGAGATTGGGAGGGAGATGTACATCATCAATCACGGCAAAGTACAGGTAAAGCAGGAGCTCTCCGTTCTCGCCGTTTGCTTGGTCATAGTATTAAACAATCGTTTCTGCCAGAGTAACCACGAAAGTTTAGCGCAGGGCTCACAAGGTTAAAGGAGAAGAGAAAACATCGATAGCTGTTTCGTTTCAACTGGAGAAAAATCCTTCTCGGGATGATCAGTCACATGTTTGGAAACTAGTGACCAGCCAAAGGGGTTGGTACATGCAGTGACCTCGCTTTATTTGTTTCCTTTGATGGGGTGAGGAGTAAAATTAGGTTCCAGCATACTCCGATCCAATATTTTATTCTCCTGTGTAAACGTCTTTTTTCTCTTTTCTGCTCATTTTGAAATGTCGCATGTTATTTTCCCATTTCTCTTGTAAAAGGTTAATTCAGGGATTCAGCATTCCCTAGAAAGCATAAGGATCGTACGCCTCCTTTCCACATGTACGTTTTTTGGTCCGTTCCGGATCCGCATTTGTTTAACCCGTTTCATTCCTGCAGTTTCTCTGTAACTTTCGGTACGCGTACGAGTCAAGGCATCTCATTAAATAATGGTGTTTGCTATATTTCCAAGACCCTGATCTCGTATCTCTCACTATCGTCTGAAGCCATCACAGTTTTTGTCACTTTTAGTCACATCAGTGGACCAACGGTATTGATTGGATTCGAGAACTGTTTTGTGGAGAAAGTTTTGCAAAGAAGAAAATGAACCTTTTCCTCGTCCGGTGTGATCTGTTACATTGACTCTCTTTCAGTTCCAGTCAGACGTGGAAATTGCTTCTTTACGGGCTCTGACCATTTTCATCAACAAGTGAAATCGAATCCTGACTTAGTTTTGGAACATTTAATATCCAATTGTTCTCATAAATGCCCTGTTGCGGTACCAGCATCAACCCAACATCATGACTGTGCATAATTCATTAATTTTTTGGTCGTCGAATTGGCGACAGGGTCATCAGATTTCAAAAACAACCCCAGAGCAGCCGGTCCGAACCACGCACAGCTATCAACCCATGGGCACGCAGGCGTCTAGGGTTGTAAATTGATGTTTTCCGCCCAGTATTGTGCCTTTTATTCCCACTAGACTCGACGTCGAGTCCCAGCGCTGCTTTCTGAAATGTTCTGCAACCGGAACTTCGCGAGTGTATTAAATAGCTTTACGCAGCTTGCGGGTACGCCAACTACAGCCGACCCTTCTGCGACTAATACATGAGAGTCGCCGATGAGGGCGGTGCACGGAGCCGTTCGTCAAGACAAGACACAGTTCAGACTTGATCGCAAGTCTACATGCCTGATGAATCTGATCACGTGCCCGGTTTTGGCGTCAGCCGGATTCAACACGGTCTACGGGACACACTGAACTAATTCGCCACCAGTCACGTAGCATACCAATCTGCTTCATTGAAACAATCCATTAAAATATATATTTAACTTTTTGTCTTTCTTGTAACATTCTGTATCATTTTCCCATCTTCCGGTCGTTTAACTTTTCCCCTCCTTTACTTTTTTGACTGTTTTTTCAGGTAGTTGTGCAAGATGCCGAAACTCAACAAAGCATGGTGGTCGCCACGCTGTCGGAGGGTAATTACTTTGGGGAGATCAGCTTACTCAAGCTTGACGAAGGGCAGAATCGGCGCACGGCCGACGTAGTGTCTCTGGGCTACTCGGAGTTGCTGTGCCTCTCTAAGAAAGACTTGATGCAGGCAAGCAAAGAGGGGCAGCAAATATGGGAAATTGAAGGGGATGCCTCGTTTTGTATAGCGGACAAAGTGAAGTGAAATTTGGAATTACGAGGTTTTCTATTCTGAAGATAATTTGCTTCAAAATATCGAAATCTTTTAGCATTGATGTGAACACGATATTGTGAGGTTTTCTATTAACTTTTCGCCACAAATTACGAGTGGGACTTTAACAATTGAAAAACAAATAAATTACACAGTAATTTCTCAAGTCAGATGAAAGTAAACGTCTTTCCCCGAGTATTGCTTTGGCTAGTCCTAAGAAAAAAGGACAGGTTTTAAAGAAACAAAAAAATCGGATATTAGAAAACGGCTTGACAGTTTGCACAAGTCATCGATCGGGAAACAGTTGATTATATTTAGAACGAAGTGGAATAGCTGTTTTTCATCCATATCCGTCTTTCCTTTGTTAACGTTCGACCCATTGTTTTGCAATCAATACAAATGAATGTACATAAATTTTCTTTAAAAAGTCAAAATAAAAGCCCAGTACAATTTTGTAGGTGTATTTTAATGTAATGCGCCCTCCTCTTCAAACTGTGTTAAATGTTGAATTGAAAGTTTGGGCATTTTGATGACAGGACGATTGTGAAGCGAGATTGAGGTTACATGACATCTTGATTGTCTTTTGTGTTATTAACATAAATGTCGTCAGCCGCACAGCAAAAACAATCAATCCAAAAGACATCACAACTGTGTCCATTTCACCAGGCCTTGGTCGAGTACCCGGATGCCAAGAAAGTTCTGGAGAAACATGGTAGGGATAGGATGGAGAAAAACAGAGAAGCTGCCAGGTGAGAACGGATAAGGATTGGGTCAGGTGACAAGAATAACTGTTGTTTTGCTTGCAGTTGGAAGAAGGTATAGTCGTTCATTTTGTGAACAATAAAGATTTTCGCTCCGAATTTTCGCAAATGTATAAGCCAACCAAGGAATTTTGTTTCTTGGTTATCATCCCTTATCATGGAGTTTCCTGTCATGAGTTAAACTCATTTCAGATCTCAGTAGTCCAACTTCATTACGAAGACATGTAATTATTGTATGATCAAGTTGGTTCAAATCGGTGCTGGAGCGCGTTCTCCGTTTAAGTCTCGGGACATCGAGGTCTGTCCTGAAAAAAGCCTGTCTCCCTTTCCATCATGGACCCCCAACCCCAGTGCCCATGTTGGATGTCACCAAGTCATGCGCATTGCCGTCGAAGGGCGTGTCATTAATGGAGTCCAAAGATCACACCACACCGGACTCATCGAATCCAGAAATCAGTTCAAGCCCATAAACGTCAAACTGTACCCTAAAGTCATCTGGTTTATAGCCGTGACCGAAACGGGCTTGAGTTAAGGTTACTCCATTGTTAGTACCGGTATGCAATCATTCAACAGTGCTACAGCAAAGATCTGGACCTGCGTGTAGACACAGGTTAGGTCAAGTTAAGAATCACACCTTAAAAAAAAAACAACAAAAACAAAACATAGATTAAGTTTTCGTCAGACGGACGGAACAGTGTACTAAACCAAAACATTAATCGGAATATTACAGACGAATAAAAGAGACCCAGGAATTGTGTGTAGTTTGTTCATCCATGCTACATGTCTATGGACTCGCTTTTCTTGCATATTACTTGGAGCTCTTTAAACTACAAGAAAAAAATGGATTAACAAAAGTTAACTTTCAAAACGCTATGGATAAAGTTAACTTGCTTTAATGTCGCCTTTTGCTACCGTAGATGTGGCAGCTTGTCATCACAATGTAGTCACGTTTCTCTATTTTGTCCTCTAGAATGCAACGTCGCAAGTCCGAAGCTACCTTACAGGTCCCAGGCCAAGACCAGCTTCAGAAATCACCAGACGACAAGGCCGGCGGCAACAACAGCGAGCCAGCCGAGGGAAACGGCCGGCCCGAGACGGGCGGACCAGCAGGGGAGATCGGTCTACGGGCACAGATTGAGCTGATATCCAAGCTCGCCATGAAAGGTACAGGCACCATCCGGCTCCCGTTTGGTTCGAAAGTTCACTGGACCTTGCCCGATATGTTCCCGTGCTGCATGCGCACAAGCAAGCATGCCGTGCTGATAACTGATGAGCTGCCTACTACTTTACTAGTGATTCGTTCCATACGACATCGGGCCTCTTGGTAATCACATCATAGTAAATAAAATCAGCTGTTTTGAACAAAACTGTGTGTATTAAGCGAAGCAAGGCCGACCAGACGTACGTTAAACAGAGACTAGCTGCCCTTGCCCGGCTTACTGGGGGTTGGATGATGGCCGGCACGTTTTTCTCTCTCTTTAATCCGCGCCGACGCTGCTGAGAACGAAGCCTTTCTTGATAATTTATTCAGTTCGTGAAAAATCAAGACAAGAAATAACCAGGTCCTTATATCAGACATTATAGAAACATGTTGTGCAGCTTTTACCGTCTATGAATGTAGCGATCGGCTTTTTTTATTTAAAGGTTTTTAAATACGTTTAGAGATCCTTTTAAAGTGTAGAATAATTTTATTGGACTGATGCAAATTATTGATCCAAAGAAAGTGTTGATCAAAATGTAGTTGAGGAAAACTTAGCAATGGCAAATCAATTGAAATCAGTATAACTGGCAAGGGCCAACACGACGTTTTTTCTGCGTTGTCAAGGTTGAGATGTCAAATTTACCGTTATGACCTCTGTCAAATTAGTTTATTTCATCTTTGAAGCAATATGTTTTATTCCATTTGTAATTGAAACAATTAGAATCTGTTCTGTTTATTGTTATCGGTCCCTTTTATTGTCCCACTGTGTTATTTTGTACGTGCTCAAGTCTCAGCGAGGAAAGAAACGGAATTTCCAGTTATCTTAAATTTGGCGACAAAATATCCTCGGGAGACTGCCGTTTGAAATTCCTTCCACCTCTAAGCTCCTTGAAACAAACCAATGAGCATATTATACAAAGACACATTGCGTTTATTAACACCCCTGGCTTCAGGCAGCCAGGGCATAGATCTTTTTTTGGGGGGGGGGAATTTCGTGCAAATTTACTGTCCTTATTTGCAGAGCATGCTCAGTTCAAATAACGAATAGGACTGTGAATTTCTGCAGGGTCCACTTTTCTGCTGACGGCCGGATCGGTCCGGCGGACCCATTGCGATGCTAGTGGCGGCGATAGGCGTTAGTAAGAAGCCAATTCGTTCTGAATTCTTGCCTGTAATTATTTGTTTACAGGAAAAGAAATGAGCGAACTGAGACACATAATCAACGAACTCAGGAATTTTGATAGCATGGTAAGTGCCAACAAGATGTCATGTTTGATTTCATGTTGTTTCTGTTTATAGTTGACCTTAAAGTAACCCTGATTGACTTTGGATACTAATTTATCTACGCATAGTCAGTTTGGAGTTTGCCGGTACAGAAAATGACCCATCCACGAAATTTCCATCGCACGTTGCCCTGTACACTACAGTTTAATCCACTTATGTTGTCATACCTTTGCCGAACATTGCTTCGTAGATTTGTTTTTTCTTTAAGTGATATCATTAATTATTTTTTTTTCATTTGTTCTTTCTCTCTTTGCCCAAAGTCAACTAAAGCGAAAATACACGAGCTTTCGCACAAGGTAAGTCAAAAACTGTTTGAATGGCACGGGAATTTCCCAGAGAGTCACTGCTCGCGAAAACATTATGCGCCGTGCTTTCAACACAACGTAGCCAGACTTTACAACTAGCCGAAGTCTCGGGTTTGTATCGTGACCATAATTCATGCCTTGTTATGATTCATCCGTCTGGCGTGCGCCTGACATGTTGCAATGAATTGGCCATTACTAGACACGGGGTTCTGCTAATAGAGAAGGCCCTAATCCACTGCCGGGACCGTTAGGAGTAATGATCGGGGCATTGACAGATCAGCCGCGCGGGTTGTTTATGATTTTTTCCCCCCTTCTCGCACGATGGGCCCGCAAAGCAGCGCAGAGTAAGCCAGGAAAGAGGGGCACGTTTAGCACTCTGCCCCCGGAGCGAGATTATAGGGAAAGACGGTAACGGGTCAGAGGGGATCTGTCGGGACCCGCCGAACGAAATGCACTGATTGAAAGCTGAAGATGATGGCTTTGCAATAATCACCCGATTGCCAAGCAGTGACAATCCCCAACTGATGTTTACATTATTTTACTTTCTCTCACTTGCTTCGCGCGGTCTTCTCCTTGATTACTTCTCACTGACCCCCCCCAACCAGCGGTCGCCGCGCGTTCAGTGCCAACAACTCCAAGATGACTCTCCCGAGGAAATATGCGTCAACGTCCTATTTTCGTAATAGCTGGGTAATCGGGTCCGTAATCGGAGATGTAGCGGCTCTAGAGTTTGCCGTCTTTAATGGATGATTGCCCATCTTTTCCACTTGGATTTCGAGACTCCGTGACGCATCTGCAATTTCGTTATTGTTTTCCTAGATCCCCCATGTCCGCCGAGATGCCGCGCAGGTTGAGGGATAAAATGCGAGGGGGTCAGACCGCGAATTGATGACCGGGGAAGGGGATAAAGCGACCAAGGCAGACGGTAGGCTGTGGACTGATTACCGCTTCTCCACTCAAGCTAATTATTTTTTTCTTCTGTCCGGATCTTTTTTATGTTTCCAGTGTGATGAACTCTGGAAAAAATTACGGCAGAAGGACCTAGATTTGAAGAGAGCCCTGAGACGAATCTCGGAGCTGGAGAGTCGCGTGACGACAGGAATTAATGGGGTCGGGCGCGCCCCCAGACGGTTTGGTCAAGCCCTGGTCAAGCGGTCCAAATCGCTTCACCTGAGCACATACGATTACAGTAGCGTAGATGATCACGAGTCGTCACTGTGGGCCAGCAGCCTGGACAGTGCCGACGGCTCGGCCAATGGGTACACGCCAACGAACGGCATGTCCAACGGTCACGGACCCCGCGGAAACTTGGCGGACAAGCACAGGACTCCGTCCACTACAGACAGGTCCCCAGAGCACAGCCCGAGGCGAGACAAGTACATGAAGGAGATGATCGTTCCGGGCATTCAGGTCAACGGCATGGTCAAGCAAGAGCCATTGACCATGAAGTGGGAGGTGTTCGCTGACGAGGAGCAATCGGACCAGGCCAACGACTCAGAGATCGAGAAGACGATGTCCCAGTTGCAGCCAGCGATAGCTAGTCTGACCCTCCCCTCTTCTGGACGTGGGTCCGGGGCCATATCCGATGTATCCTGCTACAGTGATGCCAGTTTAGACAGTGACTTATGATAAAATATAAACATGCCACCGAATGAGGATGTATGACAAGCTTCCCTCATCTCACTGGCTTAGCCCCGCCCCAAGAGAAGTGGAGTTTCTTCAGTCCTATACCTACCCTGTAAGATGCGAATAAAGTGTTAATTTTAATTTTTATCACTGTTCCGTGTTTTGCTAACCAAGGTACATAAGATTCCTAAAGACAGAATACAAACTGTTCCAGCCGTAAAGACAGTGTAAAGAGCAGCTATTCTCTCTATAAGTTATTGCTAAAGTGAATATGTTATCCGTTACTCTTTCCATCGACAGTGGCCATCACCTAGTCTTAGTTGTGCACACCTTCACTTGTCCATTCCTCGCTTCATAAAAGTCATCATAATAACCTCCCACAGTTGGACTGTAGTGTATATTCAGCGAGGAGATTTGATGGAAATCAGATGCTGAAGATCATGGTAATATTCAGATCTATGTAGACTTCGCAACTTGCTGTGTTGTTCATTCTCTCTCAGTCCTGGTTTGTAATACTTCACTGTTTCAGAAAATTCAGTTCTCTGAACTTTTAGGTTACTGTTAATTTGAGCTGAACTGTTTTCGTCAGAGATTGAGTTTTAGTTTCAATGTTTCCTTTTTTGGACAGCTTGATCTATGTTGACCTTTGTCAGAGTACTTTGCGTCTCTCTTGTCTTGATTTGTTCCACTTGTTGTCATTATTGAGGTTTATAAAAAATATGCAACAGTAATGCTATCAAATAAGTTATTCGATTGAACATGGACGGCATAATCATACAGCGAATAAGGATCACAGACTCGTCTTACGGTGTGATGATGTTGGAATATCATATAAAACTGTGTCTGTTTTGCAGAAGACTGTACAAGGTGACACATTGCTTTCTGATTTGTTTGTTTTTTGGTCTTTACAAACATATTTCTGCCTTAAACTTAAACTTGGTGGGTGAAAGGTTATGTGGACGGTATGCTGAGAATTTAAAGTTGGTGGCAAAATTTAATAGGCGTCGCCCTCTGTTGGCCTGATGAGATGGTGCCGAATTTTCTTCAAGTTGGATAAAATGCTTTTGATCAATAACACGGATGGATACGTCAGCATGCGCATGACAAGTTCGAAATGTATACGTACAGTTGTATTGATAAGCCTTTTGCGGGTTAAAATTGAATAAAATCTGGTTCACTGAGTCCCTTAAATTCGCGTGAACATAACAATTTGATTTCTCCATAATAAAGATGTTGTTGCTATACCTCGTTTCTGGGCAAGCTTTTGCTCGGTTACGTAATCACGCCTTGCACCGAGACACTGTATTCAATGATGAGAGAGGCACAAAGGAACCAGTCCATTCCAGAAATGGTGGTCAGTTTGCAAAAGCTCGCCCCGAATCACGAGGTATAGCAACATTGTCTTTCTTCGAGGAATTGAAACTGTTACGTTTATGTGCGTTCATACTGTAACACATTGTACCAAATTTTATTCACATTTAAACAAAAGGTTTTGAGGCAATTCGCTGTCTACAATGCTTCGCACTATACGTGATTCCTTCACCAAATTTTATAAAAGACATCGGCCCTTAGCAGCGGTCTATCATACTGGCGTATGCGAGCTGATACCAGACAAAGACTGGGAATATCCGAGAAGATCCAATCGTTGAGCAATGCATCTGGAATTCAAGAATCATGTCTCCATTTTTATATCCTTGTAAACGATGCTCAACCAAATTTGCATCTTCCGGGGGCGTAAATTTGTACCGGAAACTTGGAGGGGCGATGGAGGATGAGGAAAGGTAGAAGGATTACAACATTGAGCGATTACCGATTTTGTTACCATGAATATTTCTGAGCACCTGAAGTCGTTTTTTTTTCCTTTTCTTTATTTGAAACCAGACCAAATATCGCCTGTACCATCAGTAATCACGTGGCTTACGGCAAGAAGGCTAGCGTTTCGAGTTCACCTAACTTCTGAATCGGAACAGTACAGGCAACTTTCCACCATAGGTTGACAACCGTAATGCAAATATTTTATGTTGAAAATGGACAGGTCTTTAGAGCCCTTACACAGAATCCAAAGAAGACTTCAAATTCCTAATAATTACGCCTTTTTACCTACAGGGGCCCTCTGATATAAGGCAATACGTTGTTGATTTAATGAAGGCTGAAAAAACCGATCGTGTCTCCTCTGTTGTTTGGTTTCAAATCATCATCCCAAAACACTTTGAAGAAAGCTTGAGGGGGGGAACACAACACGATGGATTCACGATGGGATTAATGGAGGGGGATTTGGGACTACGGGTAAACCAATTTGGCCCAGTCTTTGTCCTGCTATTAGGCGAATACACCGGATTCCCATTCAAGTCATTAGTGTGACTTTGTTGTGGGACAGGCTCTCAGTCTCCACTTAGCCCCTGCAGTGGAATGATTGCCAGCTACACAAGGCGATTTGTGGCCCCAGCCTGCCTTTTGTGGATGTCGTGGCCACCATCGAAACAGCGTCATCTGGCAACAGCGACCCTCTGACCATGCTCTGACGTGTTGATGCCAGCTAAACTCGAGAAACAATATGTACACCGCGTACCGTCCCGTAGTTAGTTCAAGCAATAGATCGACAGGGTTAACAGGCGAAACCAATCCCAAACACTGCCAGCAACTTTGGATCGTGTTTGGTCGTGTGGAACGCGTATGAGGCGCATGCGCACACTTGTCCAGCTGTTCAAAATGTTCACTTAAATGATTACTTTCATAACGCCAATTCTCGAATACCATGCACCCTTTCATCCATCAGCAATAGACTTGAAGCGGCTATTGTTCCTGGGGGATAAAACATTTCTTTAATTATGCAGATATTTGACGTTGGCTTACAAGATGCCGAGAGCAATAAATTTTGTACCCGATGCGGGTAGGTACATGAATATTACGAGAACAAAGAAATGGATGCGATATTTCGAGACTCTTTAGACACACATGAACGCACGAAATGATCGATCCGGCAGTTTCTTATTCAGTAGCCAATACGTTTACAGCCAACGCTTTATTCGAACTTTCATCGAATGGCATAAGTTGGTGGAAGCAGGGGGTGTTTTTGGACTGATTGTCACAGTACGTGGGTGTATTTCCTTCGGCCCAGGCTTTTGTCCAACGGGGAAATGTTGAGAATGTCTAGGAATGACCACTGTTAATTAAAATGCTAAAAAACAAAGCAGCGTAATTATAAAGGAATGCCGTGCTAGCGCAAATTTCACATACATATACCTTGGATTTCAGTGCACCCTCTTAAGAATTTCAATTTTCCTTTTCATTGCCGCTGGGGAAATTGATGGGGTTACTTCCCCAATGGCATTTCCCGTCGATAATAAACTCGGCTCTTTTTTATTCAAGGGTATCGTCTAGCCTAGGCTAGAGTTGTCTGTACATTTCTCCCATCAACGTCACTCTGTGTCACTCTGTTCTCAAATCAGCGTGACTTTATTGGCCTAATGGTCCTTTCGTATTAGGCATTGAAGAAGACATTGTTGGATGTGCTCCGGGTTGCCTAAACTAGTATCAAAATATACAGGTTTGTTTGTTTGTTTTTTCAAAAAAACCCACACACGCTAACATTAACTTCGAAACTTCAAGCCCTCCAGTCAAGTTTGCTCAGTTTACAAGGGGCACGTTTTCGGTGAGAATTGTTTCCCTTTGGTTAATCATTTTCGGAATTTAAGCACCACACTATCATGCGTAATCCTTGACTGATTGCATAAGCCGAAGAAATTGAACGGCCGCACCAGTTCTTGGTTGACTGGGAGGCGTCTGCCCTGCGTAGATAGATGCCTCTTGACTGTCTGATGTGTACGTAATCATATTGTGTTCACGTGAGGCAATTATTCGATACTTGATTGCATTACGCAGGATCGCCAACTCCTTCCTGAAAACCGATCCCAATGTCTGATCAAATTCTGATCCGTAGAGTTCCCGCAAAAAAAATTACTCCTTATTATAAGTAATGTGTGCAAGCATTTTGTAATCCATCCAGGCTATTCATTACTCAGACATCAAGGCCCTTTGGGGCTTAATTCAAAACCCTTGCAATTTTCCATGGTCATATTTTCAACCTGGTTGACTAGAATTCGCAGTTGGGATCGACGAAATCCTGTAGACTCTTTACTAAACTTTTTTCCCCATTCATTCCCTCCTCAGAAATAGTGATCTCGTGGTGTGTTATCATACAACATAACAGGTCAGCCGGCGAGGTCAGCCGGGACAGCTCGTCATTCGTTATTATAATGAGAATTGCTTGCTTGAGGCTCTTTTGATAAATCACCCTAGACATGTTGTCCCTTCCTCTCCCCACCTCTCTGTATCTTTCCTCCCTCAGACCTCACTCTTTACTTGATGTGGTCCTCAGCACCTGCTTGTCTGCTGGGTCTCCACCAGGCTGGCGAGTGTGCCGTTACTGCTGCCGAGGGGAATTCGGCCAAGCTATAGTCGCCGCCATCGCTATCGAACGCGGCATCGACCTGCTCGCTCAAGCAAATAAAGTTAATGAAGCCATGGTGGTCCGAATGATCAGACTAAATAGAGACAGAACACTCATTCCTTCTCCCTCTTTTTTAACATCTTCTTATCATTCTTCTTTTCCAACAGCTCCAAACCCACTTGGGCCGAACCTGTCACTCCAACGCCCTGAGCCAATGGGTTGGGAGGGAGAACCCGAAAGAGCGCAAAATGATACCATCCCCCACGAATATCGATTATGGGCTAGATTGTTCTGGCAAGGCCTCCGAACCGAAGAAAGAAAAGAAAATGGCCCGTAATAACATTGATTTAGCTGCAAAGGAGTCTGAAGTGTCTTGTTTATTTAATGGGCTGAATGATGATGGACGTTAGCCAGGTTTGGCAGGTTGATATTGTCCGCTGAGCAGGCTTCCCCGTTCCCGTTGTAATCCCCAGTGAGTCGGATGACACCTTTGGAGAGATTAAACTCTATTCAGATCCTTCAAAATAAGCTTCATACCAGGAGTTGGTGAAGTTATAATTCCTGGCCTTGTCACATGCTGACTTTATTCATACAGTCCGGCGGTATAGTATTCTTCGCTCCCTTTCGCTTCAACGGTGTATGGTCATGTGGATCATGTAGGGTGTACCATCCGTGGGTGAATCGAAACAACGTTCAGAATCATCTTAGTTTGGTGGTTCATCAGAATGAACGTATTTTGTCCCCATAGAATGAATGAACTAAAACCCGTATAACTCCCATGCATCTATCTTGAAATGGTTACAGGGAGCTTTCCGGAACAAATCCTAAGCATGGAAAACATTCAAAACTTTAGTTATTTGAAACTAGCGAAAACATAAGGTGAATAATCTTTCTCTGTTATTCTCGTTAGCAACATTGGATAAAGAAAAAGATTTTCCAGTAATATTAACATTTGGACCGATTTTGAACAAAATGCCACTTCCTTGAGTAAAGATTGCCTCAAATTCAAAACATGTTGCCAAGCGATCCCAGTTCTTTGAACTAGGCTTGCAGCTTGGTAAACCCATGCGTTGTTTTGCTTGGAGACACCACGAATGGATTATCAATATCAATGTTAATATCATCGTTTTGGATGTTGTTGCTTGAGCAATAACGTTCATGAAGGAAAACCTTCTAAAGTCTTCCAGAAGGTTGATGTCATAGTACGGAATCTCCAACTGCTCGTCACCTGACAGTTTATTGCCGGGGAGAAAGCCTCAGTGTTGCATTGATTTGTGTACATATAACTGATGGAGGTTTTTATATTTTGCTGCTGTCAATCTCCTTTTCTCTTTCAATCAGTCATTGTGTACCCCAAGTACATGGCAATGAGCCAACGAGTACCCCCTCGCAACAAACATTTTCAATGAATTAAATTTGGG